CGGCGGGCGCTGCCTTGGCTTCGGTGACCACGCTAGCCATCTAGATGGAGAGGTCGGTGGCTTCAGCGAGAGTGAGACTCTCTATCTCGTAGGCGTAGGCAACGGAGAGGTTGTCCCGCAGAGCCAGGACTCCTATAGACGAAGGCATCTTCATCACTAGATATGCATAGTGCGGTACGGCCATGAACTTGGCCAGAGCTGGCCGACCAAGTATGGTGTGGTAGGCGGTGTCGAAGTCGGCGACGTAGAAGTTGATATGCTCGACGCGGTAGTTGCTTGCATTGTCGAACTATACTGGTAGGGTGATTTCTCCAAGTGGTCTGGATGCCCTGCCAGGTACCACACCCCAGAAGGAGGAGTTCGAGGGTGTGAGATCTGTTATCGCGAGGCCCAACTCCTCTAGGGCCCCGGTGAATAGTAGGTTCAAAGCACTGCCACCATCGATAAGGACTTTTCTGAAGAGCACCTTCTGGACGGTTACATCGAGGACGAGGGGGAAACGCCCTGTGTAGGGTATGTCCACCCACTGGTCGGCCCTGCTGAAGGTGATGGGGACCTCGGACCATGGGCGATAGCTGGGGTTGGCGGTGGTTTCCTCTGAAGCGACGACGAGCACTCGTCGGGCAGCGAGCTTCCGTTCTCTTCTGCTCTTGGTGGAAGCGAGGCCCCCGAAGATGGTGGCGACCACCTTGTCATGGTCCTGGAAGGCATTGTTATTGCCCCTAGGTGGTCGGCGGCCTCTGTTCCCACCATTGGCATCGTCGTCCAGCTTTTTGTCCTGGAACTCCTTGGCCAAACCGAGGCAGTCTTTCATCTTGTGTTTTGCATTCTTGTGGAGGGGGCACGGGCCGTCAAGGATCTTCTTGTACTGCTCGTCGTAGTTGCGCTTGGCGCGTGGCTCATTGATGGCAGCGACAAAGTGGTCTGGCTAGCGGTGGTGATTCTGACCAGGCTTGGATCCTTCTGGCCGATCATGGCCATTGTCCCGGTGGAAACTGCGGTCGTCATAGCGGCAATCGTTATGGCGTCGGTTGTTGGGGCGGTCGTCATACCGGTGAAGCAGGCGATTTGTGCCCGTATCTTCACTAAAACGCACCTCAGCTTCCTCCGCGTCAGCGTATTGGTTGGCGGTCATGATCATCTCGCCGATGCCTATAGGTGGCTTGCTGTTGAACTTGGAACGGAGCTCGCGGTGATGAAGTCCTCGGATGAAGGCGGTGATGACCTCAGCTTCCGTGATGTTGGGAATAGAATTCCTCATCTCAGAAAAGCGTATGATGTAGCTGCGGAGGAGCTCGGACGGCTTTTGGGTGATGCGGTTGAGATCATGCTTGGTGCTCGGCCGTGTACATGTAGCCATGTAGTTGTCAGTGAAGACTTTCTTCAGCTCTTCCCAAGATCCGATGGAGTCCGGGGCAAGGCTTGTGAACCAGCTCATGGCGACTGGTTTGAGCATGACGGGGAGATAATTTGCCATGACGTTGGTGTCTCCTCCGACGGCGCGGACAGCAGTGGCGTAAGCCTGTAGCCACTGGGTTGGGTTCATCCTTCCTTCATAGGGCACGACCCCGGTGATTTTAAAACCACAGGGCCACTGGAGTGTTCGGAGCGCCCTGGTGAAAGCTGGGGGCCCTTCCGGGTTATCGATGGCGTTGTTTGCAGCGTTGTTGGCGGCGATCGGCTCCAGAGCTGAGTTTGGATTACCGTACTCTTGCTCATACTCCTAGCGGCAATGTACTTCTTCTTCATGGCGACCGAAGCGACATTGCTCGATACGCCGTCGTGCATCCCGAAGGTTACTGAGGTGCACTCGAGCGTCCTGTTCGACCTCCTAGTCGTGTTGGCGATGATGCTCGGCGCGGTGGCCCTCGGCTCACCCCTAGAGAGGTAGTGACTGGTCGGCGAACCGGCTTTGACTAGGGCGACGATTGGATCTAGGCATAGCTGATCGGCGAATCGTGCTCATGGAGCACAAAGGTCTCTGATCCTCTCGGATCTCATTGACTTGACAATGTGCCGCTATATGCATAGCGGCGACCTTGGCGAGCTCAGGCATCTACGAGAGGCGGGCGAGCTCGTTGGCGGCCACCGCGAGATTAGCGCTTGGAGTCTTGAAGACGTCGTGGCCATCAACACAGAGAAACTCTTCGTCGAGGTTGCGATGGAGCGGCCTTCCTTGCGAAGTCGAATTGGTTGTCACGAGCGGCCTCGGCCATCGCAAGGGCGCGCTCATTTTCATGGCGTTGCACGCGGTTGATGTTCCTATTTTCACGAGCGGCACGTTCCTCATCGGTTTCACCGTTCCGAAGGGGGCTGTCGATGCTGACATTGAAGATCGCGTCACCCTAGAAAGGTGGGAGAGGGGGTTGCTCGGTGAAGGTTTCGGCGAGGGTCTCCGTGGAGCCCTAGGATTCGAAGTTCGGATTTTCCTCTAGGATGGTTTGGATGGATGCTCCGGGGCCTTGGCTGGCGTGCAGCATGTTGACCATTGGCGGGAGCTGATTGGCGATCTAGTCAGCGAGAGAATGGATATCCCCCACCTGGTCGGCGAATTTGCCCCTTAGGGTGTCTTGGTATGTAGCGGTGGTGTTGGCGAGCCCAAAGGGCTAGGGCCATAACCCCCGAAGTTTGCCGAGCAGCTTCCGATAGATCCGAATCGGAGGGTGGTCGGCGCTGAACGAAAGTGTCCAGAGCCGACTCGGCGATGGAGAGGCAATTGTTGAGCTTCAGACCGACCCGATCGATGGATTCGATCAGATCGTCATTGTTGATGTGCCTCCTCTAGTAACGAGGAAGCGAGCGGCGAGTCGTTGATGAAGATGACCTCAGAAGTAGTTCCAAGATCGGATCTGCAGTCGTAGGTGAGGGGGTGGTCGGCGCAGAACGGATCTGCACCGGCTCGAGGAGCTCTCCGACTCCGTTAGCATTGATGACCCATGAGATGGATCCGACCGTGAAGATCTGGCCGGGCTGCGGGAGGGACAAAGAGCCTGCAGAAAAGCCATCTTGTTCGACAAGGAAATAGCATGCACACCCCTACCTGGCGCACCAACTGTCGACAGAACACGAGCTGCGACAGCAAATCCCTCCTTTGTGAGGGCCTTGTCAAAGGACTCCTTAAATTCTTCCACGAATCTAGTACGTAAATGACCTAGAAGCAATTGGTATGCAGGATTGACAAGCTAGAGGAGATGAAAGAGGCATCGGTAAGAACGAGGGCATCCAAAATAATGTGTTAGAACAACAACAAAAAAAAAAAGCAGCACATGAGAATATGAGATCAAAATAGTGATCACAAATTGGGATCATGCAAGAAAATCTTAATAAGAAATAACAAAAGTCAAGGCAGAAAGTGAATTTCACTCTGCTACCAATCAATTACAGGAAATAGGGTAGTCATTAGAAATGAGATCAATATTTGATCTCACATTATATTCTACGTAACTAGTGTGCTGTAAGAATAATGACAGATCCATACCCTACACAACAAATACTTGCGTCAACTGGTGATCAAACCCACTGTGTATGTATGTCATTTTGGGCAAGAATCAGTTGAACTTTAAAATTTGGCTACAAAGGTAAGCAATTATGGCCTTGTTTGGTAGGGCTCCTCCTTTTTCACTGAAAAACGGTTCCAAACGACTCCTAAGCCGGAGAGGAGCCCTACCAAACGGGGCCTATATCTTGACTCAACTAATGGTAGTAATACTAATGTCCATTGCCAAAAAAACGTCATACTATATATACTTTTAACTAACATGTTGTGATAGAGAAGTAGCAAATTGCCTCTTGGAGACTGTCGTGTTCCAAAATGCCACACATTTGTATACAGATACTAAATGCTAGGTAGCTAGGATATCTATATAAAGGGGGGTACATATGAGGAAGTGAGGTAAGGCACATCTACTATTTTATATATGGTTAAGTGTGTTTACAACCCAAAAAACAAAAAGTAAGGTGCAACCTGCAATAGTTTAGACTCAAGTTGTTGTCTTTTTGAGGTTCTGACGCCTTCGTCAAAATATATAGCCTTCATGTCATACCTGCAATCAAAGAAGTTAATCATAAAGATGATGTCTTCTTTTCCATGTATGCAAAGAAACAAACAATGTTTGCATTCCTTTGGACACAAAATTAGATAATTCATCCATAAGAAAAAAGGCATGCTTTACAGACTGTTTCATCCCTATGCCAACACCCAACTCGATTACCATTAGAAGTTCATTACCCCTAACATAATAAAGGAATAGACAGGGTCCAAACCAGGATATGCCCCTGGACTCTACTGTCCTGAAATAATTAGTAAAGATCCTAGAGTTCAATCGAGAGCCCATGAGACACTTCTTTCTTGGATAGAATGGCTATAATTGGCCTCTCTCTACTAGAAAAGACTGAGTGCTCAGGATCCCACTACCAGCTATCACTATGGCTGAAAATCTTATTTATTTATGATACACATAGGTGGTGGTGTTGCTCTTCTCTATGCTTCAAAAGACCTGGATACATTGGAGACTGCGAACTTTGACCAAAAGATTGGTGTCCAAATCATTCGAAATGCTTTGAAAGTTTGAAGAAATTGTTTATGTTTTCTTTTGAGGTTTTCCTCTCATGTTCATGTCATCTGATGATTGGAGGATTTTGCAGACCCCAGTGCATACTATTGCTTCAAGTGCTGAGGTAGAAGGGCTTGTTATTGTTGGCAAGCTTTTGGAACAGGAGAACACTGATCTAGGCTATGATGCAGCTAAAGGTAGTGTGCAAAGTTGATAATATTGCCCATTGGGGGTTTAGGAACTAAGTGTATTATATTTCTAACTTTGGTTATGCAAATTGATATTACAACCCAGGTGAATATGTGGATATGGTGAAGGCTAGTATCATTGACCCACTTAAAGTGATTAGAACAGCCCTAGTCGATGCTGCAAGTCATGATGTTTTTTTAACTTTGGGAATATCACAAAAGGAATAAGAGAAAACATTATTCATAAATACTAAAGAACTCACTCAGATAAACATCTGTCAAGAAGGCTGCTGAGTTTTTTCCCAAACCCAGGTACATAGTCATGTTGAACGGCCTCTTCAACTTGTTGCCATTCCTTTACATATACAAAAAATTAGGATCAGTGTATTCAATCTCTGTAACGTGTATTAAAGCATAATATGCAGTTTAAGTCTATAATCATCTCATCAGCTGTAAAACTGGCAAGTTTCTCATTATCAATTTCCTCACAACGTACAGTAGCCACCATAACCTGAATCAATGCATATAAAGATATATCAATATACATGATGCAGATAGCTCAAATTTAAATAGCAGAGGGTACTCACTTTATGAGCGGGTAGATCAAGGTCTTTGTTCTCCTTAATGACCTTCCAAAACTGCTGTGAACTAAAAGAAAAACCTGAAGCTGGGACAACAACACGGCGATCTCCAGCAAGTCCACCAGGAGCAATCGAATGCTGAAATCTCTCTCTTAAATGGGAAACCTTCATAAAAAGTCATGTACTAGTAGACATAATCCTTGGGAGATTAGGAGTATAGGCATGTATTTAATAATTTGCGATTACACCAACCTGCTCCTTGAATAACTCTTCTTTTTCCTCATAACTTGATAAAGCCATAACTTCTACCTGAATGTAGGATTGACAGTAACTCCACCATAATCCACAAAGAGAATAAAGACTAGATTAAGAATTTTACATTGAAAAATTCACTGAGTGGAGTTTCTTTATGGGCATGGGGTTTAGGAACAGCATCCCAAATCTGCAGCATAACAAAAATAGCTCAGCACACTGAAAAGAAAAACAAAGAAACATCAGGCACAACAAATAATCAAGTGAATACCTTCTGAATGTCTTCCTTAGAATAGGTTCAAGATTTTCAAGGGGTGTCTGTGTCAAACCCAAAAACAGCAGCCATTACTTTACGTAGACATAGCTAGATTGGAAAGGGAAAAACTAAGAAAGTTAACAGTTGATCTTCATCCTATGATAATTCTAAGTAGCTTAATATGCAATGGCAGGTCCTCACCTTTGATTTGTCACGAATTACAAATAATAATGTTGTTTTACGTGGACTGAACAACATCATCATGACCTAATACAGATAAACAATTCCTGAGGACATGTAATGCCTCGCAGACCACTAAAGGGTAATAGATAAATAAAATACAAAAATCAAGACTTTAGTTTCAACGGTGTAACCTGGAAAACGGTCTTCAAAAGAGGTTTGTTTGCAGCCTGTTCTCTGCCAATGTCGGAGGAGGCGGCGGCGCTCAATTGTACAATGGAACAATAGGTGCATCATCTTAGCAGAACAAACTTACATATTGATAAGCACAATATCCGAAACAGCCAAAGCAAACAACGCACTTTGCTTCTCAAAGGCTGTGTCATCCTGACATGAAATAGATGAAGTACAAGTCATAAGCTTTGCAACACAAAATCTAACAACAATCATTAATCCTGACGTCCATGAGCAATCAGATTGGTGAGTACGAACCAATTTCGTCTTCAGCTTGTGCACTTATAAGCTGAAGCAAGGATGCAACAGACATCACATTGTTTGGCTTATCTAATAAGCTGGAGTCCTTCCACCAAAAAATTATAATAACAAACTCAAATCAACGAGGAGGGCATTGCAGGCTTAGCTCAAAAGGTGAAAGTAAATATAGGCTGCCTTATTGAAGATTCCCAAATGACTTTTAAGCATGCAGTTTATACGGCACTGCTAGCACGTTTTGAAATTAAAAAGGGCGTACCCAGTGCAGAGAGCTCCCGCTCTGTGTGGGGTCTGGGAAAGGGTGTTAGTGGCAAGCCTTACCCTCGCCTGTGCAATGCGAGGAGACCGCGACTCGAACCCGGGACCTTCCGGTCACAGGCGATAAGACTCTACCGCTGGCACCAGACCCGCTGTTCATTTACTGTTCATAATTTCTTATTTTTAATGAAAGGCTAACAGGGGTGCAATAGGTTAAGTTATATGACATTGAATTTGTATACATAAATCCAACAGGAATCAGGTTCCAGGGTGATTCTCCTTACACACTACAAGGTCCTGTGAAGAAGTGATACTAGTTACTAAGTGTTAGCACACTGGTTCAAATTACTCGCACCCTACCCCACCCCAAAAATTAAAACAAAAATCTAAGTATCTTCGTTTTCATTACCTCTCCCCTCTCTCTTCCATCAGTTCCTTCCAAATCCATTACAAGGGTGCATGGTTCAATGTTTTGGGCCTTCGCTAACCATATATACCTTTGGTAGTTTGTGACCTGAAAAGTTCAAGAAATGTTACCAAAGTTACAGACAAGAATAGATTGTACAAAAGCCAGGAAGTTCCTGCTAAGAAAAGACACATAAATATGAAACAATAAGAACATGCCTTCCTTTGAAAGCATCCATCTCGCTAAAATTCGTGCCAAAAAGATGATTCAAAAGTGTACTCTTCCCTGAAAAAAGGTGGAGGCAGCGATAATCAGTGATATGATCTCGCTAGGGTTTGTTCCCGATCTTTCGATGAGAGGTGTGGGATAACTCGATTGATGGGTGGAGACGACGTTCACGGCCCGACTACAGCCTTCCAAGCTGCGCCTTAGCAACCGATACACCACCTCCAACAGCTGCCGCGATCTTGTGGAGCGCGTCACCGGCCACTAGGGCACTTGTCCTGCAAGCAATCGAAGAACTAGCAAGAACAAGTATAGCAAGTACTGAATTACTAGATGTAGATGAAAGTTTCAAACTCAATCTCAATTAAGGTGGGGTTCCGAAGACAAGAAGACGGACGGCTGATCCAGCACGCGCGCTTACAAGCAAGTAGCGAGAGCTAAACTTGATCTAAACAAAACCCAATCTGTTTGTGGCGGCTCTAATCCTTATTAATACCTAGGGGAACGACCAGGGGAGTGTTGGGGTCGTTCTCTAACCCTAGGACACGTCCCTAATAAACCCAACTTGATACATGGGCCATTGGCCCAAAATAGGATGACGCAGCACCAAAGGCAGAAAAGGTCCCGGCGTTGAAACGACGACTACGGAAGCATCGGATAAGATATAGCCATGAGTCCAGATCCGTTGGAAAATAGACTTGAATAGCTTTCCAAAAAGTGCTAGAGCGTCCCAATCGGAGTCCGTATGAAGTCGTGGCGACCGACGTAATTTGGGACTATTTTGCAGTCCGAATTCAACTTTCAAAACGTGTTGGACTTGGACTCTTTCTGTCCTTGGAACCAAAGTGACGTTGTGGCATAGTGGAGGACGTTAGGAATACTTGGATTTGGTCCCCAATCAACTTCATTAACCTTCCATGCTTTCTATATGCAATCAAACCTTCCCTTATCCATGTAAGTAATTCTGAAAATGAGAATGAACACACATCATGGTGCAGCATCAATTCATCAAATGTATCAAATACAATCATGATAAAGAATTATTTCACCTATGAATCAAAAGTTGCCAATATGGTTATATCTGAGCAGGTGATGTCCTCATCAATCAGATGAAAGAAAGTGTTCAATAAACAGTATCAAAAGAACGAGTAAAGGAGAAAACCCATACCACTACTTTGTGGGCCCATTATCGATACAACAGCATATGAGAGCCCGCATTCACCAAATTGAACTTCATGAAATGATCCAATCCAGAAACATTGAAGACCCCATCACCGTCAATGAGCTGTGTCGAGAAACATGCATCCCCCATTTCTGCTCTGGAGGATAGCAATATATGGAGGAAACGGGGGGAAAGCCTACAATCCAAAGAAAAGAGAATATGACTGCAGCACATCGCTTGCATCCAAGATTTCTCCAAAACAAAATATGAGAAAACAAAGACACAAAGCTCACAGCAACAATACTCACTTGTTAAAAAAAAAGAACACATGTAGTTTAGGGCTTTATATAAGCTTACATCAACATACTCAGTTGTACAGAATGGCAAGCGTTTTTTTTTTGGCATACCCCATCAGAACCAAACAATGCAGCTTATTGAGCTTACTATTTAAACTTTCCACAACAAAAGAAAAAAAACAAAGGAAGTAAATGTCCGGTTATGATTGTACTATGCCTTGCAAGTTGAACACCAGAACAGGAGGATTAAATGTGGGGTGAGAGAGAGAGAAGTATTATTGCACCAATATACGTCATGTTCGTTTGGCTGCGGCTTATCGTAAACGATCGTAAATTTTCAGCTGAAACATTATTTTTCTCTCACACAAATCAGCCAGCAGTACTTCTTCATGAACCAACAACGATATGAACGAGCCAACCGAACAGGCTGATAAATGTCACTGTACCAAGGGGGCAAACTAATGGATGCGTGCTCTAAGGGCAGTCCCAATAGAAAAAATAACATAGGATACCGCATAAAAAAATACTGCTTTCCAACCTATGGTTTCTATGAGTAATAATTATTTTCTCTTTCTCTCTCTCAACTCTATCTTCTTCCTCCAATGGGAATGTGGCACGAGCCCCCTAGAAACTGGTGGTTTCTCCCCAATGGCTATTTCATGGTTTCTTGGTGTATTGGGTTAAGAGAAGACCTGATTTCTTCATGAGGAAACCATTTCTAGAATTTTTGCTCTCTTTCTTTATTAATTACGTTGCCATGTCAGTGTTTTGCCTACGTGGCAAGTCATTTAATGGGGATAGAAACCATCGTCAATACATCATTGGGACTGGCCTAACTCGCCTTGCTTTGGGTCTACCCACCATTCAATACTACAATTATTACTGCAGATCGCACACAGTACAGTACAAGCTCACACCAGGGGTGGACTGTACAGCCAATATTTTTTTTTTGCAAAAACAAAACGAAAAAGAAGTTTGTAGGCATAATACACGTATACCGCACTTGTAATTGGATCAGATCAGATCCGAATATAGATAGCTTGGGTTTGGGTGCTCCGTTTCGCGGCAGGAATGGAAAGGTGTGGGTGTACCTAGTGGTGCTCGTCACCGGCGAAGGTCGATGGAGATCTAGGCACCTGCGGCGGCGGCGGCACAGCCGTCGCTACCAGAGACCGATTGAGCGCACGCGAGGGGCACGGGAGAGAACCGAGGGAGTGTGTGCCCGGGGCGAACTGGAGAAACCGCACGCTGCCGCAGGGTAGGTTACGAACCACCAGTGTAAGAATTTCGTATCAATCGGTTTTAGGCGTGTTTGGCACGGCTCGTGTGGGGCTCTTCCGGGGCTCCTCCTGTGGCCCTCTCCACAACGGCTCTGTCTATTTTTTTTTATAAAAAAACGACTTTTAAAAAAAAGGTTTGGCAGGACTTTTTTTTAAGAGCCAAGCTAGAACCGAGGAGAAACTCTACCAAATAGATCCTTATCTAAAAAAAACGTAGAAAACATGCATTTCAAGGAGATTTAGACCTGGATATACACAAGTGTCGGTAAACACAAAAACCCGATATTTGTTTACACTCGAATTCAATCTAAATCTAATGTTGAGTTACTTTTTTTGACGTGTGTGTCATGTTGGGTCGAAGTTTTTCAGGTTTTATGTCAAAAAAATAAACTTAAGGGCCCTATATGATCAAGCGGTTGTTGCGAATTAAAAATAATGTTGTGAGTCCTCCTATACATTAGTCAGGTTAGCTTGGCCCGGACCCATGATGATAGACTTGTGAAAAATATGTCCGAGTGGTTCCTTTATAGATTTATAAAAAAAAGTGTAACTAGGCCCTCGAGTCATTTTTTTGTGCTATAACAAGATAGTTAAAAAATATTAATAATTTAAACTGAGATAAAGTGCATATTGAAATGTATTGATGACCCCGTCCACAATTTAGACCCAAATAGAGACATTAAGGGTTAGTAGAGAAACAACTTTCGATCCACTTTAAAATTTGGCTTTAGTCCCGGTATTTTTCACATCTGGGACTCGACAAATCTTTAGTCCCGGTTGGTAGCTCCAACCGAGACAAAACCAACCGGGATTAAAGGTCCCTGCCTAACGGCTACTACGGCAGGCTTTTGCTGCAGGGGACCTTTAGTCCCGGTTAGAGTTACCAACCGGGACTAAAGGTTAACTTTTACTCCCAGTTGATCCCTCCAACCGGGAGTAAAAGTCTACTCCCGGCTAGAGGCTCCGTTTGGGACTAGAAAGGGACCTTTAGTCCCGGTTGCTGTCTACAACTGGGACTAAAGGTCCCCTCCTATATACCCCTTCTTTCTCCCCGAGCCTAAGCCACTTCGAGCTCAGTGTTCTTGCTTCATCACCGGCCTCTCTTCTTCCTCATCGCCGGTAATCACAAGATTTCTTCGATTCCTCCATCGATTCTTCGGTTGTAAAGGTTACCAACTTTATACTCTCATGTTTCATCAGTAGCATATCTCATTTTGTGGACTAAATATATGTGGTTTTTTATGGTGGATTTTTTTTATTTGTAAGCCATTTAAGCTCAAAATCATTTTAAAGTTTGCATATTTGGATGAAGGAATGTTAAAGTAGTTATTCAAAACTAGTATTCAGCTTTCATTTCTAACATGCATAGCATACTTCATGGTTTAGAGATATAGATAATTTTAGAGTTTTTTTAATTTTATTTATTTATAAAATGAGAAATTTATATTATATTAAAAATGAGTATAGAGAGTAAATGACAACTGCTTCCGGGTCCTCGACCTCTCATCGGGTTCCAAAGCGACTGAGGCCGGACCTCCCTCTCATTGCATGCGGCAAGTGTGAGGAGAAGATTATGATGGAGTACCGGGTGAGGAAGGAGTGTCCCAACAAGGACCGTATCTTCTACAAGTGTCCGGATCGCAATGTGAGTTATTTTGTCGCATTTGATGATTATGGTTAATTTATACTTATTTTCATGATGATTGTGATAAAAGTTCTAATTTTTTGTTTTAATTTCAGTGGGATGGCACTGGATGTTCAGGCTGGTACTGGGAGGAAGAGTATGTTGAACACGTGCAAAACTCTCTTGCACAGGCGGCTACAGCGGCTGATGAGGCAGTGATCCTGCGGAAGAAGCCCATAGATGTTGAACAAACGCATGATCTATTTATTTTAGTTGGGATTGGTCGCGAAATCCTTATGCTGTTGAAGTGCATTTTAGCTTTAGTTTTTTTAGTGGTAGTTGGGATTGCCTACATTGTAGCGAGACTTTCATAAATTAATACCTTGTGTGGTGGCATGCATGTCGTATAATTAACTAATTATGTTCTAGGTTTTAATATGGTATGTATGTCATGTAATGCAGATGAACCGGCATTGGATGTAAAATGCTGATCGCCGCTCCCAAGAGTTCATTGAGGGCATGCATTCTTTCTTACGTGTGGCCGAGGCAAACAAACGCGATGGTTTCATGTGCTGCCCATGTGCCATATGTAAGAATTTGAAGGAATATGCTAGCTCAAAAAGTCTCTATTCACACTTGTTGAAGTCGGGTTTCATGCCAAACTATATTGTTGGACGATGCACGGAGAAACCAGGGTTGTAATGGAAGAAGGTGAAGAAGAACAATGGGACGATGATGACATTATTGCTGAATATGGTGCCTTCAATGATACTGCAATGGGGGAAGCTGAAGAAGAGGTAGGGGCAGAACATGAGCCTGCTGATGATCTTGGTCAGGCCATTCGTGATGCACAAAGAGAATGCGAAAGTGAAAAGGAGAATATCAAGTTCGAGCACATGCTAGAGGATCATAAGAAATTGCTATACCCAACTTGTGATGCGGGGCAGAAAAAGGTGGGTACCACACTGGAATTGCTACAATGGAAGGCAAAGAATGGTGTATCTAATAAGGGATTTGGGGAGTTACTGAAAATCCAAAAGAAGATGCTTTCGAAGGATAATGAATTGCCCGCCACTACATACGAAGCAAAATAGGTAGTCTGCCCTTTGGGATTAGAAATCCAGAAGATACATGCATGTCCTAATGACTTCATCCTCTACCGTGGCGAGGAGTATGAGAAGTTAGATGCATGCCCGGTATGTCATGCATCATGGTATAAGATCAGGCGAGATGACCTAGGTGATGTTGAGGACGAACGTCCCACGAAGAAAATCCCTACCAAGATTATGTGGTATGCTCCTATAATACCACGCTTGAAACGTCTGTTCAGAAACAAAGACCATGCAAAGTTGTTGCAATGGCACAAAGAAGACCGTAAGGTAGATAATATGTTGAGACACCCTACTAATGGATCCCAGTGGAGAGCAATCGATAGAGAATTCCTGGAGTTTGCAAAAGACGCAAGAAACTTAAGGTTTGCTTTAAGTACGGATGGTATGAATCCTTTTGGGGAGCAGAGCAGTAGTCATAGCACTTGGCCTATTACTCTATGTATCTACAACCTTCCTCCCTAGTTATGCATGAAGCGTAAGTTTATTATGATGCCAGTGCTCATCCAAGGCCCAAGACAACCTGGCAACAACATCGATGTCTACCTAAGGCCACTAGTTGAAGAACTTCTACTTTTGTGGAATAGACCAGGTGTACATATGTGGGATGAGCACAAATAGGAGCACTTTGACCTGCGAGCATTGTTGTTCGTAACAATCAATGATTGGCCTGCTCTAAGTAATCTTTCAGGACAATCAAACAAGGGATATAATGCATGCACGCACTATTTCGATGACATTAAAGGTATATTCTTAAAAAAATGTCGAAAGGTCGTGTACCTTGGCCATCGTCAATTTCTTCCTTCGAATCACCGCCTAAGAAAGAAAGGCAAGCATTTTA